AAAAGTACTGAAAGTACTTTTCAGTGGACAAAGGCTCCATCTCAATGCATAAAGAAGTCTTCTCTAAGTGTACAGAAAATCCCTCCCACAACATGCACCAGTACACTTCAGTTTCTTAGTTTCCTAGGTAATAGTTCCTGTTCCAGTTCCTGTTGCTTCTGTCTCTCAGAAACAACTGGTTACTGTGACACATAGCTGGTCATTATAATGCACATTGTATAAAACAATCCCAACTGACAAGCCATTCTGCCTCTGTACTTCCGGCTTGCTCATCACATGTAAGCTCTAGTATACCAGAGATGGGTCCTGATATTTTGGGAATGATCTCGATCAGTGCCCGTCCACATAAAATAAATCTGCCTTCAAATCCTGGGTGTTGTTTTGGTGATTCTACTTGCCATTGCATCAGCAGAAAATTAGAAATGTTGCTGAGACACTGAAAATGGCTTATTCAAATTAAAGAGAGCTAGTCAGTGTGGTGCATACCTGCAATCCCAGCTACTTAAGAAGCTAAAACAGAAAAGAAAGTTGAAGGGCAGTTTGGTCAACTTAAGTCTTGACTCCCTATAAAAAGTTAAAAAAACAAGTAAACAAAGGACTTGGGGTATAGCTCAGTAGTAGTGCACTTGCCCTAGGAACACACACACACACACATACATACACACTATAAAAACTCCAAAGACCTTCTGAAAAACTAGGGAAAGATTTCCTATGAGGTAGACTGTAAGAGTTAAAAATGATCCCTCCATCTTCACCAAAAAAAACCTCTAGGACTTTGTAGCAGGCAGGAGCTACAGTGGTAGAGGGAGCCAACACTGCAGGCCTTGAGCCTTCCCAGCTGCTACCTAACCTCACAGTAACTAGCCAGAGTCTTTTCTGACCACAAATCCTCATCTTCAGGAAAGGAAAGCAGAACCACAAATCCATCATTGGTTGAAGTTAGGCTCAGAAATTTGGTAGTAGCTCAAGTTAACTAAAATACCAGCCGTGGAACAACCCACAGCACCTACAAGATGAGCCCATGAACCAGTAGACCATAAACCATGGCTGTTTCAGCACTGAGTCACCCCAAAAAATTGAATACATTTATTGTCAGAAAAGTGTGGGCTGCCAAAACTATCTTAAAGTTATTTGAAACTGAATAAAGAATTTGCACAGAGTGGTGTACAAAGAACTGTGTTTTATGGATCATTATAACGTGTTCTTATGGAAACTCATTTTTCAAACACATCTTTGGTTTAGCAGATAGGCATTTATTTTTGACAGATGTTGCCAGCATTTATAATACAAAACATTTCTGAAAATTGTCTTAAAATAATCTTCATGAAAATAAAATGTAAGCTTTTGTATTCGGATAGAAAATATTTAATGTCAGTGAGATATTCACTAAATAAGCAGGTAAAAATGAAAAATATGTATGTGTGTGAGTATGTATACGTGTGTATATATGTGTGTACATATCTGTATGTATATATATATATATATATATATATATATATTTATTAAGTGCTGTCAAATAAAGCAAATAGAGAACTTCAAAATTCTGTGCCTCATACTCTTCTCCAAAGAAAATATAGTGTCAGTTCACATTCTAAGACCAAATGTTCTAAACTGTTTATGGTCAGCCACATCATAGTTTACGGTCACCATCATACACCTAGCATTGTGGGGCTCAAGGTCCAATTGGATGAAATTTGTACCTGTCTTACTTATAGTTTCATAAATAATCAGAAGGATCCCACACAGTGTCCTGCATTTCTCCAGCCCACAGCCATGAGTATGAGACCTCAGCTGGAAAGAAGAAATGGCTGAAGAAGATAGACTGCCCTCAGAAGACATAGAGCTCACTAGAAATGGGACAAATGGAACAAAGAAGGAAAGGCAAAGATACTCTTTGTTGAGAGCAAAGGTAAGCCAATGAACCTTCCTAGAAAGGCTCTTATAGATGGTCACTGAAGGATGGAATCCATCAAAGAGGATGCAGAAATTTCCTATCGGGGATCTGAACTCTATAGTTAAGTCACAGGAAGTTAGATATCTTATATATAATTTTCTCATAAGTACACATATAGTATGTATATGCACATATCTATGTGTACATATGAATATGTTTGTATATACATTAAAAGTCATTTACAACTGTCTCCCTACATATAAATATATATGCACACATGCACTTACCTATGTACCCATTCAGAGATGTGTATACACCTGCACATAGGTACATGAACACATAAAGTCACTGCTTCCCCCTCAACTTATGATAGGATTATTACATTCTCATGATCTTACATTCTGACATCATAAATTGGAAATAACATCAGTCAAAACACATCGAATACCCTTAAGCTCCTAAACACCACAGCATAGCAGCAGAACACCGCAAGGTATCTGTTGTTCTTCCCCGTCATGATTCTGTGGCTGAGGAGGGGCTGTGGCTCACAGCTGCTCCCCAACATCACTAGGCACTTCTGTACCCCATGTCGCTAGCTTGGGAAAAGATCAAAATTCAAAACTCAAAACGCAATCTCTACTGAATTTGCATTGCTTTGGTATCATTGTACAGTAAAAATAAAAAAATTTGAATCCAACATTATAAGTCAGAGATTGTAGATGCACTGAAATCCTTAGAACTCAAGTTCATAGGAGAGCTCTTTGAGAAAGAAGCTTCAGGTCATGGTCTTACCAACAGCTGCTTCTCTAATCAGATTCACAGCAAAGAACAATTTGGCTAAGATGTAAGGACTCTGCCTTGGAGCTATATATTTGCTACCTGAAATCTTGCAAAGTTGTCCAAGGTTTCTAAGCATGCTGGTATTCTTTGGGTAAGTGACAAAACAAGCAGAGACTGGCCTATCATCATGTATTTTTACTTTTCTATATTCTGTTCTTAGTGATAAAAGTAGAAAAGGATTTAGGAGATGCCATGTTAACATTTGCATTAATTCACACTTTCTTTGGAAGTTTAATCCTACCAGTCAGGAAATGCAAAATTTAAGGTTCTTCCATTTATGTAAATTTGCATGCCTTTAATTGGCTGCATTTATAATTACTAAGGAGCAACTATTACTTTGTTGTCACATTTTTACAAAATAGCAAGTTAAATCTCACTGTAGCATCTAATTGGAGTGCCATTCATCAATTTTAAACTCAAACTGCGTTGCTGAATGTAAAACATTGTTTGAAGGACATGCATGCCCAATGAATGTGCAACTTACAATTCTAAATGAAGTCATAGAGCAATTGGAGAAAGCATACTGGCAAGCCAAAAACCTACAGTTTTTATAAGTGCACGAATGTAGCCTTGAATTTATCCACATCCCTGACTTCTCCATCTCACTGTTTCCCCCTCCTTTGGGAATCTCAATCGTTATTACCTCTCCCAGAGAAGTACCAAGGGCAAAAGGAAAGGCATGAATTTCAATTGTCCTGTTGCTTTTTAGTAGACCCTTCAAAGGACTTGTTGGAGAAAAAGTCAAATTTAGAGGCTAAAATGAGGTTTGAAGAATATTTAGATTTCATTTATTTGTGCTCTTACATGCTTGCTACCCCATTAGAACTTATAATTGAAAGTGTGGTTTATTTATCATAGCACGCCAAGCAAAGGCTGTCATTTTAAGTCAAGAGCACAAAAAAGGAGCAGGATTTTAAATGCTGCAAGAGGGACAATTACAGAAGTAAACAAGATTACTTCAAGGATGACAAAAGAAGCTGTAGACTCTTCTCTGAAACTTTTCTAAGAATCAAGTAAACACCTTTTCACTGCTTAGACAAAGGGAAATCAACCTGCAGTTTCTTAAGAACCTTTGCTCTATAGCTTTACATTAGCTTACCTTTTAAATGTCTAATCTATGAATTATTTCCAAAATGGGAAAATGCAGTAGTTCTTCATTTGCTGCAACCTTAAAGTCCCCAGTCTTCCTCAAACTATGATTACAAGATTTGGTTGCATTGCCACCAAAATCCAATTCCAAACAATCCTACTCCCCACATTCCCAGAGCAGTAATAGTAATGTCAATAGACATAGACAAATTATGAATAATCCTAGGTTAGCTGATTCTGGTGCATGAATCAGACAGATCATGCATCTCTCTCCATAAGAGGTCACTTTCTGAGACCCTGACCTATCAACTTTGACCTGCACTGGGCTCCTTTGCCAGGAACAACTAGAACCTAAACATCCTACAGAAACACCCGAACCTCCAGGCCATGATCAGTTTTGCACAGCTTGTAAGGAAGTGTTATATGTGTTAACATAGAGTTTAGTACTTTCTTGAGATATAAAGAAAGATATCAAACCCAAGTGCAAACCAAATCTGAAAAGAACTGCTTGGGTGCCAAGCTCTAATTGCTGATGTAGCTTTAGAGATTAGGTTCTATGAATCCCACTGCAGTTATAGACCGAGAACGGTTGTATCCCTGCCCCACAAGCCTATTCTTTGACTCAAACTGCATAAGCAAATTGAGGTTATGTCCATGGGGTACTAATGTTTAGTTTTAACACTCACTTGTGTCTCACAAGGTCTCGTATGCTGTTTGGGCACATGGTAAGCCATGTCTATAAATAGCCAGCATCTACATTTCCTGGGGGAAATTATAGGGGTTCAATTCAATATTCCTAACTAAGCAAACATTTATTGAAAACCTGTTGCTGGGACCCATTGCCTGTGCACACAGCGAGTTCCTTTTGTGCTTCACTAGAGGAAATGCAAGGTCCTTATGAGAACACTAGGAGACTGCTCCAGTTTGGGGAATCAGGAAGTTTTCTAGGTGAAAATGGCATTGAAATGGAGACCTGAAGGGAGATCAGGAAGTTCGGTAGAAATGAAAAATGAGAGTATTTCAGGAAATGGAAATAGTTTGGGCAGAGGCTTTCCCATGCAGACGAACACATGACTCTTCAGGAATTTCATGTGACCGAGGATGGCTAGGGAGGGAAGCAGCCCAGCACAGCAAGGGAGATAAGCTGGGGCCAGCTATGGAAGGAACCCACACTCACCTAAAGGTCTACAGCAACTCATCGACTGCTTTTAACCAGAGGAGTGATGTGATCCACTTTGTACACCAGATAGGTAATTCTCCATGCTCCTTGTAGAGAAGTGAGGCTGGAGCCCTTGGTAGAGGTACAGCAAGAGTACAAAAACAAAAGAAAATTTAAAAGGGCTTGATGAATGATCTACAGTCCCAATCCAAGGTACAATGACCCCAATCCCTTATTATTACTAGAATAGTGATGGTGATCCATTCTGTGATCCATTCTTTAAGCCCAGAGAGATCACTCCAGCAAATGTTCATTCTTAGATCATCTGTTCTTCATTTCGTGATATATGTTATAAACAACAAGCTCACTTCAGCTCTTGCATGGCTCAGTGCTTTAAATTTATACAAAAGTTTTTAAATCCTACAAAAGTTGATTGCATCCCCACTAAAATCCAAGGTACAATGACCCCAATCCCTTATTATTACTGGAATAGTGATGGTGATCCATTCTGTGTATACACTCTCTCTCTCTCTCTCTCTGTCTCTCACACACACACACACACACACACACACACACACACACGTTTATAACAGATCCTTACATCACTATCAGATGTGGTTTTAAAAGAATAAAATAATTCCCTGAAGGAGGTAAATTTTCAGAGCTGGATCAGGGAAAGTCTGTTCAGGACTAATAGCACAAATAAATTCGAGGACACACAAAACTGCAACAACCAAACCTGTTAAAATCAAAGTACTAGAGATGTTTGAGTAAAAGCATGGGGCTTGTGAGGAACTTTGGTGCCCGGTGAGGCTACAAGAGTAATTTGAAATGGCATCAGAGAAAATCTCACACTGCACATTAGTTTTATTCTCATAGCATTACATGCTTTTGGAAGGGTCCCGACACACCACGTTTTCAAAAGAGTGAAGTAGATGTTATTTTGCTTGTGTAGACTGAGCTGTGAGACTTTCAGTGACAGAGATCATCTCTCTACTATTTGAATTTGAATATTCTGGACTTTACACAGCATTCATTGGCAGGTACACAAATTCATTTATTGTTTATATAGACTGGTAGATGGAAGAATGAATGGGTAGAAAGATAAAGAAACAGATAAATCTTTACACCGGTGATAAATGATCTTCAGGTGACATAATTGATTGAGGAGGTAAAAACCTAAGAATTCTGTAAAATAGGCAATACGATCCTCATCAGAGGAGGCAATAAGACCCTGCAGGAGTTAATGGAAAAAAATAATCTCCCATCTCTTCACCGAGGAGCTCTCCATTTGGGATCCAATGATTTTTGGAGCTGTATTTTCCAAAAATCTGCCATATGACTTCTCCATTGATGCACTGTTTTTTTCAAGGAGATCTTCAAAATCTTTTACAATGGATTCCCATTTTCCCTGAGGATTTAGATAGGGGATTTCCCTTTCTTGGAATCATGTACAAAACCTTGGAGACAGAAATGCAAGTGTATTTTACTGCCACATACTCTTCCAGAAATCAACACCCCTTCTCACACCTAAAATAAAACTCTTAGAGCCAGTTCCTTAATTAGAAAGAAGAAGTTGTTTTCTTTGATTAATTGCACACTGCAGAAAAAAAGACTATGTAGGAGGTAATAATTTATGGTAGCAATTTGAGGTGATTTTGTCATAAACTTTCCATAGTTTCATATTGTAGATTTTGGCAAACATCAAATTTTGACAAAACGGGAGGGGGCTGGAGGAAGTAAAATAAATATTTAAGCCCAGAGAGATCACTCCAGCAAATGTTCATTCTTAGATCATCTGTTCTTCATTTCGTGATATATGTTATAAACAACAAGCTCACTTCAGCTCTTGCATGGCTCAGTGCTTTAAATTCATATATATATATATATATATATATATATATATATATATAATTTGTTGCATTGTTGTTTGCATTTACAGACAACACCGCTAATGGAGTTGTTTTGTTTGCCGTACACGTGGATAAGGTTAAAAATCTCAAAGGGAAACTAACAACACTTTCCCATAAGAGGACTCCTATTTTTGTAGCTCTAGAAACCATTTTAGAACAAATTGTTTCTTATGACTGTCTCTTTCTTTGCTCAATGGGTTACTGATGCCTTTGCTCTAAAAGTGCTACATCAATTTACGGACTGCCAAGTAGGTCTTTTGGTGACAGAGATAACCAGAATATCTTAACAATATAAGGTTTTAAATTGAATTTCAGGATGTCAAGTTAACATTTCTTTTCTGGAACCTGTTCCTGTTTTCCACACAGTCACACTAAAGTTTTTCTTTCTTTTAGTATGGAAGAATATACAGTGTCAGGAAGGATGATAAATACTAATCTATGGTTAAATTTGAAAGTTCATGAAAAAGCAAACAAATAAACCCAAAACGCACACACAATATGATATATTTTCCAAAATGCTACAGTATGCAAACAACTGAACTACTTTTTATTGCAGTCAGATTATGAGATCCACTTTCTGGAGAATTTTAATTATACAATACAGTCCATTAACTGTCTGCAAAATATTTTACACTAAATTTTTAAAACTTACTTCTCTTCCATTACTACAACTTTGTACATGTTTAGTAGCAATTTTGCATTTATCCCTACTCCCAATCCCTGAAAACTACATCCCACTCACTCCTTCTATGACTTTAGTTTTTTAAAATATCTCATGTAAATGGAATCATACAATTTGTGTTCTTCTATGGCTGGCTGATTTCACTTAGCATAATATTGTCAAGATTTATCCATGTTGTCACATATAATAATATTTCTTTTGAAATTTGAATCGTATGTCATTGCTTAAATACCACATTTCTTTCACCCATTCACCCTTAACCTAAATATCTACAGAATAATGTAGCAATGACACAGTCAGACATCTCTTCTAGATCCTGATTTCCATTCATTTGAATACATATCCAGAAGGAAGATTGCTGGAACCTGAGACATTTCTGTTTTTAATGTTGTGAAGAAGCTCCACATATTCCAATAGTTACAACACTTGACATTTCTACTACCAGTGAAAAAGAGTTCCTGTTCCTCCACTGCCTCACCAACACTTATTCTATTTTCATTTTTGAAGCAGCAATTCTAACAGGAGTGAGGTGAATTTCATTGTGAATTCGAACATCTTTTCATATAACTGTTGACTTCTTTGAGTAAATGTCTTTTCTACTCTTTTTGACCATTTTTAAACGGAACTTTTTGCTGTGATATGTAGGAATTTACTTTGTATAGCAATGTCTTAACAACTATATGCTTTGCCAATTTTATCTCTAATTATGAATTTGCCTTTTCACTCTGTTGATAATTCCCTCTGCCGTTAGGAAGTTATTATTTTAATCAAGTCACCTGACTATTTTTTTATTTTCTTGCCTATGATTTTGGTATCATAGCCAATATATTATTTCTGAGACCATTTTCATGATGCTTTCCTCCTGTTTTATCCTCTTAAGATAAGACAATTTCAAGTCTTATCTTTAAATCTGTAGATCATTTTTACTTGTTTTTTTTTTTTTAATTTTTGTGATGTATGACAAGGGTTCCCTTTCAAGCATGTGGATATTGTTTTCCACATCAATTTATTTTCTGTTTTTGAATCTTTCTCAGTGGACTGTTCAGGTAAAGTTGATTTCTAAGCTATTTGGATCTATTAGTCAATTTTGGCATTTTGCCAATGTCATACTGTCTTAACTACCACAGTTTTGCAAGATATTTTGAAATTCTGGTTATTTTACCTGTAGAACACTTTGTGTGTCTATATTAATTTTATTATTGTTTTCCATTTATGTGAAAAAATATAACTTGGATTTTCATAGAAATTACATTTAATGTGTGTCTTGTTTTAAACAGTATAAATATTTTAACAATATAAAGTCCCCAAATCCATGAATACAGAATGTCTTTATTTATATCGTCAGTATCTTCCATTATCATATCTTTTCTCTCTACAATTCTTTCACCTGTTTAAACTGTATTTGAAAATATTTCATTCATTTTTATGCTACTGTAAATGGGATTGTTTTCTTAATTTCCTTGTCAGGGAATATGTTGTTAATGTATACAAATGCAACTGATATTTCTATATACCAATTCTATATTCTGTAATTGCTTAATTTTTCTCACCAATTTTAACAGTTTTTGTTTGTGTTTGTCTTTTAGTTTAAGAGTTTTGTTTTTTGTGGAATCATTAGGGTTTTATACAAGCGAGATCATTAATCTGCAAATAGAGATAATTGTGTTTCTGTTCTCTTCAAGTTCCTACTTTCATTTTTCTTTCCTAATCAGAGAGGACTTCCAATATCACACACATAGAAGGGATGAGAGGGGGGCTGACTTGCCTTACTCCTACCTTACAGGAAAAGCTTTCCAGTTTTCATCCTGCACACCATGTAAATTAGCACCCTTTCACATATGGCCTTTATAATATTGAAATAATTCCTTTCTGGTTCTACTGGGTGGAGAGTTTTTGGCATAAAATGGTGTTGAATGTTGTCAAATACTTTTTTCTCCATCTACTGAGGTTATCATATATTTTTTAGTTTTCTCTTTAGTGTGGTAAAATATATTGATTTTTATATGTTGAGTCATCTTTGTAACTCAGGGATAAATCCCACTTCTTCATGATCTATGATTTTTATAGTGTGCTATTGAATTTACTATGCCAGTCTTTGACTGAGAATTTTTGCATCTATGTTTATCAGACAGACCAGCTTATGAAGTTTTTTTGTTTGTTTGTTTGTTTGTTTGTTTTGTAGTATCTTTGTTTGGTTTTGGTACCTGGATAGTGTCGGTTTTATATAATATGTTTGGAGTTATTTTTTCCTCTTCCACTTGAAAGAGTTTAAGAAAGAGTGGTATTCATTGTTCTTTAAAAGTCTGGTAGAATACACAAAGCCAAAATCAGTAGATTTGTTTTATTATTGATGCTGGAGTTTTGGACCCTTTGTTACTTATTGGTCTCTTCAAATTCTCTACCATTTTCAGTTTAGTCTTCATAGGCTGTATATTTTTATGATTTCTAGATTGTATAATTTATTGACATATATAGTTAATAGTTACATATTTTAATTCTTCTATTTCTGTGGCATCCCTTGTACTGTTTCTTTCATGTCTGGTTTTATTCTTTGAGCCTTCACTCTCCTTTTGATGGTCTAGCTAACACTGTGAATGTTATCTTTTCATATACCAACTGTTAGTTTTATTGATGTTTTCATTATTTTTCTGTTTTCTCTGTTATTTTAACTATGAACTTTATTTTTTTCCATTTTTCTGATAATTTTGTCCATGGGTTTCACTCGTATTTCTAGTTCCTTGAGATATAAAGTTAGGTAGTTTATTAGGTATAATTTTTAAGGAGGTATTTATCATTACAAACTTCTCCCTCATTATTTCCTTTACTACACCCAAAAGGTTTGCTGTGCTGTGTTTTCATTTTGATTTGTCTAAAGATGTTTTCTAATTGTACTTTCAATTTCTTTATCAATGCATTAGTTGCTCAGGAGTGGGCTATTTATAATTTCTATGTGCTTATGAATTTTCTGATTGTACTTTAGTAATTGGTTTCTAGTTCATTCTTTCTTGGTCATAAACGATACTGGCTATGATATCAATCAACTTAAAAATTTTAAAACTTGTTTTATGGCCTAACATGTGACATATCCTGGAGAATGTTCCTCATGCACTACGAAGTGAAATGAACGAAACACACAAGCTTAAGTATGACATTGTTTTACTTGTATGAGAAATCTGTAGGGTAAATAAGGAGTCAAAGGGAAGGTAGATGTTAGGAAACAGTAATAACTTGTTCAAATGGGAAGGATAATAACAAGGTGTGGGGGAGAGGAAAGACAAGAGATGCTTTTTTTGAAAGAAAAAGAGCAAAAACAGTAAAAAAAAAAAAATGGAAATAGTGCTTCTGTAAATGGGGACAGAAGAAGGGTTGAAACCTGAGCAGGACCTTGGGAGGAGTTCGAGGACCCCTTAGAGCAACAGAAGATGCTAATTAAGGAGAATCATGCTAGGAGAAAGTCTGCAGGTATCCTCAGCTGTGTCTTGCCCCCGAGGTGTCTCCTCGTTCTCAGTTCAGCCATGCCGGGCCACGCCACAGCCCTGCACATGTATTCCGCTTCGGTGGCTCCAACAAAGAGGTGTTAGTACAGGTACAAATTTCCCATGATGAAAGTAATCATTATGTATGGCAAGCACGCACTAATAAAAAATAAAGATTAAAAAGAGATAACACAAGATACATGTATAGTTTTAAACGAGCATATATTCTGAGCAGGATGTTCGGTGTGTGTTTGCTATGTCCATTTGGCGTATTGTACTCACTATTTTCTTATTGATTTTCTTCCTGAGTGCACTAGCCGCTACTGAACATTATTATGTGTCCAGAATTGGCCCTTTTACCATTATATAGTGTCATTCTTATCTCTTGCTATTCTTTTTGCAGCTAACATTGATTTTTTCTGATATGAGTATAGTCACATATCATATTCTCTTTCAATTACCATTTGTCTGAAATATCTTTTTCCAGTCTTCAATTTTTGGCCTATCTGTATTTTTAAAGCTAAAGTGAATCTCTTGCAAATAGCACATATTACTTCAACCTTCAGTTTGTTGTTGCTGTTTCTTATCCATTCAACTACCCTTTTGATTAACAAGTCAAACTATATTTAATAGGAAACGGTTGCTGTTTATTAATTTTTTATCTATCTTATAATTCTATTTTCCTTTGTTGTTCCCTTCCTTTGTGTAGTTTTTTACTGATAAACTTGATTCCTTT